ATATATATATATATATATACACACACACATATATATATATATATATATATATATATATATATACATATATATATATATATAATATTAAAATTAATATTTTGTAATCTCACCTTTCTATATGTACTGTAGCATTAAATACTTTTAAAATATTTTTTACACCATAAATAGTCATTGACTAAGCCATTTAATGTATATGGATTATCTGGATTTGTTTGACTTTTTTCATTAAATAATAAAGCAATTAAATTAAAAGGCATAAGTATTGTATTTTTTTTATGTGAATCTATTATGCAATATGCCAAATTTTCAGTAACAAATGTTGGTAATTTAATATGAGGTGATAACACTTTTATTTTGCGTTGTTCCATACTTAAAAATTGGCATGCAGAAATAGGTTCACCAACATTAAAAACAACACGTCCATAAGCATGTGATTTCTGTAAAATAGACAAAGATTGAAGTAAACCAGCAGTAGATTCTTTTGGTTTTGGTACTCCCAAAAGTTCATATGTAAACAACAATTCTTCTGGTGGTCGTTCATAGTTAATACTAATAGGTATAAAATATATATCAGGTACACCACCTTCTAATAAATTTTCCAAAATAATTGATAAAAGACCTTAAAATTAAACCATTTTTGTTATCTTCTCATTAAATATTATATGTAATTAAATTATTAAATTATTAATTTTAACACACCAAACTTTGGTATTATACTCTTCAGACTTCTACTTCGAGTACCTTCAATGAAAAATTCAATTGCTCTGTCACTATGTTCTACTAAAGATGCTACATATGTGCTAAATATTCTTTTGTATAATAAATCATTGGAAAAACTGCGTCGCATATAAAAAGCTCCTGTTTTTCTTAATAATTCTCCTATTATATACATATGATAAAAATCCATTCCACTTGCAATATTTGGAAGTGCCATATCATAAGAGAATAAAATATATGATAATAATATAAAATCTAAATAACTTCTGTGAGAAGGTGCATAAACATATTGTACTTGAGAAATTTGCATTTCCTTTTTCATTTTGTATATTGCATTTTCATTGATATAAATACTCACAAAAATTCGTTTAAGAACTTTTGAAATAATTAAACCTAGAATTTAAATATTGTTTTTATATAAAAGATTAAAATATTAAAATCTCAAAAAATTTTAATTTTACCCGTCCAACGAACAGTAGTTAAATGTGCTTTACTAGCCATTTCATTTATTATTTCATAAGCTTCTTTGATAACTTTTTTAATATCTGTTTGAAGTACGGTAGCCAAAGAAATAATTGTTAATTTAACTTTTTCATTATTTAAAACTGCATGAATCATTTTATTTCTAGAATATATAGATTCTGGTGGAAGTTTATGTGGTAATAACGGATCCATTGAACGAGAAACCCACAAAATATCACAATCTTTTCGTCTTACATTTAATAAATCTACAAATTCTAAATTTTCCCCCATTTTGAATTTGAAATATTTGTGTAAAATAAAATTATATTCCTATCTCGATTTGTTACGTTATAAATATCTTATAAAAGTAGCAGAATTCAACTAGAGTTCAATGATCAATGTTCGCTTATTTTCAATTCAAATGACGTTTATTTATTTAAATTTCTCTTAATTATACTTATATCTGTATATGTTTGCGTGTTATGTATAAGGTATTTTGCAACATTTTGATAGATAAAAAAAATTAATAATTCAAAAATGAAAAAAAATAACTTTAATTTTTTTTTTAATAAGGATAATTAAATTAATAAAACATAATAATAAAATGATCAGCATATTTTTAGATATCATAGTAAGCAGAAAGGCTATTTTTGAAACTAATGATTATGCGATTAATCCATAATAGAGAAAGAATTCCTGACAAAAAAATAACAAAATTTGAAGCCAAAATTTAAGCCTGGTTTATTAAAAATAATATTTTTAGAATTAAAATTTTAATGATTTGAAATTTTAATTTTAAGAATTATATAATAATTTAGTAAATATTTGAGATTAATTCTAAGAGTTTTAAGATTTCATAAAATTTTGGATTCGAGTTTCGCTAATTTAAAAATCAGCTTTTAATTCATTTTTGATTAAAAATTTATAATTATTCGAAATATAAGTAAGAAATTTAGTTTTTTTCATTATTTAATTATAATTATAATAATAAAATTTCTATTAAAAGTTTTAATTAGAATTTTTGTATGAAATTTATTATTTTTTTCTTTGTCTTTTATTTTAAAAATTCAAAATATTGTATTTTTATTAATAGATCAAAAATGATTAAAACTTTTATTTTGGATTAAAATTTTAATTATCATATTTATTTTATATTTTATACAAATTTATATTATATTTATTTTAAAATCAATATTTAAAAAAAATTAATATATAAAGAATTGAGAAGACAAATAATCTGAAAATATTGCTTTCATTTGAAATATTTTCATTTGGCGCTATTTCTGCTTTCTTGATTCTTTTAACTAGCAATCATCTACATTCAAATTGGCTATTACCTTTTTTTAAGTATTCTTCGCGTGGTTTACGTGTTACAGAAAGTGATTTAGTGATTATGGGTGGTGAAGAAGGTTTAGGAGTGACTACAGGTCAACCAAATCTTTATAAACAAGATCTTTCAAAGCTTGTAAGTAAAAAATATACTTATATATTTTTATAATCCAAAAGTTTTCATAATGTTTTATATAACCTCAATTCGTATTAGCATACTGTCATATTTCTATATCATTTCTATTATTACATCGAATTAAATGAAAATTTTTATCAATAAATTTCTAAATGTAATATATTATTATATATTTCTTAAAATTATATTTTATTATAATATTACTAATATTATTAATTAAATGTTTAATTAAATAAATAATTATTTAAATAAATTAGTTAATAATTTAATTTCAATAATTTCAATATTCATAATGATATTGTATACTTTTATTTATTGCTGAATTAATAATAAATATCCTATCATTGACTTTTTTTTCATAATAGTCTCTTATAATATCTAGAGTAAATTAAAATGTATTATATTCATTCCGTTATTATAAATTTATTTAATTAAAATAAAATATAATTTCCTTTATTTTAATTTTTTAACTTTTAGTTTCCTTTTAATTATAAAAAATATTTTATTATCTTAATATGTAAGTTTATAAAACTTTTTTTTTTAGGATGTTAGTAAGTTGACTGCATTATCCCGTGAAGTTATCAGCAGACAAGCAACAATTAATATTGGTAAATATAATTTTTTTATTATATCATTAAATATCATTACAATAATATATAATTATATATATAAATATAAAGTTAAAAAGCAATATATTATAAAATAAAAATTTGAAATCTTCTATAGGTACCATTGGTCATGTAGCACATGGAAAATCTACAATTGTAAAAGCTATATCAGGAGTACAAACTGTTCGTTTTAAAAATGAATTAGAAAGGAATATTACTATTAAACTTGGTAAGTAGATTTAAATAATTTATATAAAGCTAATATGGATTTGCAATATTTTTATGGATTTCATTTTGCATATTCCTTATTATTGCTATACAAATAAAACCTTTTTTTTTCATTTTTGTCTTATTATTCAATATAATATATTATCAAAATTTAAAAAAAATTATAATAGTTTAAAAATAATAAATATAATAACTGTAACAAACTGTAATTGTAATAAGAATAAAATATGAAAGAATGAAATAATAAAAATTATAAAATCAACTATTACTATACATATATTATTTATACTGTTATTATATATTTTTATTATAATATAACTGCTATTATACTATTTATTATATATATTACATATATTATTTCTTCAAAATATCAGTTGATACATAAGTTTACAGATAAACATTTTTTTTGTTCTTGTCATTTGTTTTTATTTATATAATGTAATGCTATAATGTAAATACTTAAAATAATCTAAGAAAATTAAAAGAATTCTTCAAAGAAAATAATTAAAAATGAAATATAATTAATAAATTTTTAAATTATAAAAGACACAAATAAATGAATGATTAGTGATTTAATATAAAAATAAATTTTATTTAGGATTATTTTAAACATTTAATGAATTTTCTTATATAAAACTATTTTCATTTTAAAAAGAGCTATTTTCATCGTTTATTTCATAGATGGCGTTAAATATATGAAGTTGTCGCCATTTTATAAAACACTTTCAAGTCGCGGGATCGAAAATATTTTACAATTGACATTTTCAAAAATGTTAGTTTATTCATAGCATTATGTAATTACTTTAAATATTAATTTTTATTTATTTAAATATAGATAATAATAATAAAATAGTTCTCTTATTTTTTCAAATTATTTCCTAATTTGTATTCATTATTTATTTATTGTTGCATATTTTCTCTAAAAGAAAATAATTTTATTTTTTTATTTAATAATTTCAGAGAGTATAATTATTTATATTAAAATATTATTATTAAAATATAAAAAAAATTTATTTATAAAATATTGAATTTAAAAACAAACTTATAAAATAATAATGCATATCAAAATATTGATATAGCAATATAAAACATTTATTTATTTTTGCTATATATTATTGCTATTGTATTATAGTTATACTGCTTTATTCATATTTAATTTGATATAAATCTTTTAAATACTTTTTTTTTAAATAATTTTTTTTTTCATTCATAAAAAGTAAAATATATATTTTTTATTAATTAAATTATTTTTATATATTTTAAAATAATTTTACATATTTAAAATATTAAAATTATTGTTATTGATTAAAGCATACCTTAATAAATAAATTGATTAAAAGTGTTACAAATATATATAAAAATATATCTTAGTAAACTATTATTTTAATAAATTTAATTTTATGTAAAATATAATGCGTGTGGATATAAATATTTTTTATATTATATAATGAAATATATTAAGGTAAGTATAATTGTATTAATTATATTTTTATTATTAATAAAATTTTTGTAATATATATATATTATATAAATGTTTGTATTATTTAATATATATATGTATAATTATTATAATGTATTATAATGTATTATTTAAAATATGTATAATTATTGTAAATGTGTTAAATAAAATATGTAATTATTATAATAATATGTATTATATATAAATTTATTTACGTATATTATATATTAAATGTAATAAAGGTAATAATTTTTATTTGAAAATTAATATTTTATTTATTAAAATGATACATATAATATATAATACATAATTTAACTAATCATAGCTTTAGCTAATCATAGATAAAGTAAGTTATAAAGTTTAATAAATTATTTTAAAACAATTATATTTTAATAATTTTATAATTTTAATTATAAAAGTAATTTTAAATTAATATTAAGGTATGCTTTAATTAATCAATTTATATATATTTTAGAAAAATAATTATGATATTATTTTATTTATATTATAATGTAAAAATTAAAAGTGAACATTAGATAACATTAGATAACAAATAGAAATTTCAAGTAATTCATTCATATTTCTATATTATATGTATAAAAATATTATTATATATGGCATACTATTTTATAAAATAATTCTATATATAAATGATATTAATTTCTTTGTAATAGCATCAAACATATTTTTCAATAAATGAATGAGAAGAATGAAGAGGATTCAAGGGATTCTTGATATACAAGGTGATAACATTAATACTAAGAGAAAGGGGAGGAATGGTTACAAGTTAAACAAAATATGGAAAAATGTGACTGGAGGGAATGACATCCTTTAAATGTTTGGCATTACAGACACTCGTGCAGAGGACAGTACCAGAGGGGAACAAGAAGCAAATCTTGGCTATACAAGCAAAATGTCTACACGAGGAAAGAGACCAGCCTCTCCAGGATATGTTCAACCACCAACTAAACATCAGAAGCTTGATCAAAAATTTATTTTTTCTCAAGAAAATAATTATAATGATAATTATTTCTGTGGTAAATCAAAGAGCAGCAACTCCAATAATAGTGATGTTTTTTTTAAACAAAACAAAGAAGAAGAACGAAAAATTAATAAAAAAAATTTGGATAATCAAGAAGTTAGCATGGAAAATGTGGAAAACAAATCATGTACTGATAGTGATATTGAAAAGTATAAAATATTTTGCAATTTAAGAAATGTTAAATTGAAAGAACTTAGAATTATATTAGAAGATATAAAACATATAAATACAAGACATAATACTAAAAGTGGAATGAAAACATTGTTATCAGAAACTGATATTTGGGAAGTAGAAAAAATTCTTGCAAAGAAAGAAATAAAAGGTGTGCCAACTTATTTAATCAAATGGAAAAATTGGGATTTAAAATATAATACTTGGGAACCTGTGTCAAATTTAATAAATTGTTCAGATATTCTAGAAGAATTTGAGAGAAATAGATTACAATTACTTGAACGTTTTAAACGAAAAGTAAATTTTTATCCAAATAATCAAGATATTGAAGAATTCTTAAATTATCTTAAGCGTGGAGGAAAGACATTAACATCAATTTCAGTTGAATCAAATAGAATGTTCATTAGTATACTCAAATTTTTGAAACAAAAATATGTCAAAAATAGTAAATTGGAAAAAGTTATAAAACATGATATTCTTCGTATGCTAATTATTGATTTAAGGAAAAAACAGTTAAAATCTTTAGAA